CCTAGCTGTCGATGAGACCATACAGAGGTTCATGGGCAGAGCGCCGGAAATTGTCAATATTCCATCAAAACCTACACCAGAAGGCTTCAAGATATAGGTCTTGGCGAATCAGGGCTACGTTCTCGACTGGCTATGGCATGCTAAAGGCGACAAGAAGGGGCCTGTAGACCTAGATACATCCTTCCTGGATAAAGGCTTTACAAAGACGCAAGCCGTTGTCCTTGATCTGCTTACTTAATGTCGCCCAGGCACGCAGGAGCGCCTATATCCGCCGGACAAGCACATAGTTTGGCTGGACAATCTCTTCAGCAGTGTGAAGCTCTTTAAACGGCTGAGATCTCTTAGAATTGGAGCTGCCGGCACGGTTAGAACTACACGCACAAAACAAGAGGAGCTTGGAGAGGAGGAATACGACGTGGAGGTCCTTACAGCCGATTAAAAGGCCTCTAATAAGGCCTCAAAAAGGAGGACCAAGGCTAAAAGGACGGTGCCAGCTGAGCGCTTTTCAGCATCACTTACAGACCTTAAATTAAGCCACAATAAGCAAATTCTGTGGGGCCAGCTATACGGAGAGTTATCTAGGAGTTATAAGGTAATAGAGTTTGCCTGGAAGGACGCCACGGTGGTTCTATTCCTGTCTACAATTTATGATGGTACGTACATCGTCCTCAACACTATGCCGCAGAGCCGCTGACGTCATACATCGCCAGGTTAAAACTACATCGCGAAGCTACGAAAACGACCCTCTACAATGTCCACAGGCTACAGGCAAACAGCGAAGGTGTTCGGCGATGAGGCTAGGAAGGAATTGGATATACCAGACTTTATAGAGGAGTACAATCTCTTCATGTGCGGCGTCGACGTGGCCGACCAATTAAGGTCCTACTATAACACCGAGAGGACTTATAGGAAGACGTGGAAGCCTCTATTCTCTTTCCTATTAGATACAGTAGTTGGCAATTGTTACCAGCTGTGCACCTACAGGAAAGTGGGTGAGCGAACTCTACGCCAACATTCGCATGCCCAATTCCGCCGCAACCTACGCGATGCCCTCCTCCATAACTCTATTCGTGTTCGCAAGCAACATACAGTAGAAGGAGTGAAAGGAATAATGGACATAGTATGGCAGCCGGTCAAGGAGCATAAGCTAGCTAAGGTGTTTAAAAAACAACACTTCTGTGCTGCCTGCAAGGAGGCAAGGCGTACTACTACAACAGCACACTATGGGGCTCGGAAGCCACTTGCGAATCTATCTATCAACACCACAAGAAAGGAAAGAGGCGATAGTCATGGCTGGAAGCGTCGTATAAGGACGGCTCGGACGAATTATGGTTGTACAGTTTGTATGATTGCATTCTGTACAGGTTCACAGTGTTGGAGTGAACATCTAGCAAAGCTCAACTCCATAGAATAGGCCTGTATAGCTATCTACAAGCAATTCGAATAGCCTCAGGTCATTGTAATTCTCATCACGGAGGAAGGAATCAGAGCCTCTTATTGGCCGCAGCCTTATCGATAACGTAGGACCCATTTCAACGGGTTAAGGGATACACCGTATTAGCGAACCCCGGACCTTTATAACACTCTTTTTCAGCCTCATAGCGTTTCTTATCCGCTTCAGCCATATCTTCACAAGGTTTCTTCTCCTGATCACTAAAACTGGTCCACTTCTTCCCTAAAAGTTTCCCGATTTCGCCTTAAGACATGTAAGCGTAAGATTAGGCATGTATAGTATAGAATAGAATTACCAAACTGGATACCAGGATGCTCTTCCCGAAGTTTGTCACGATACTTACTAGCGAAGTGCAAATACGCAGAGACATTACGCCTTGGAGCGTTAGGATCTGTATAGTGTGAAATCAATTGCAAGCCCAAGAGCGTACTAACAACGGAGAGAGCATACCTGGGAGTTGTGGTAGCGGTCCTGTATCTTTGACGCCATAACGCTTGCCGATCACCTCTCCAAGCCGAATCGATGCATTCTTTACTCCTTCACCATAAATAAGCGGCATGTGTATACCAAATATACCCAGCAGACAGTACGCTTGATCTTCTTCGATTGTTGTCTGTCGTTTTACCGCCCATAATAATCGTTCATAGGTCCTAAACTCATACAAAGGAGTTCCTTGAAGTGCCTTGACCGCCACACCAGTAGTATTGGAGAGTAGCCGTTCTAGGGATTTCTTATCGCCAAGCGATTCGCCCTCTTTTGAAAAAAACTCGACTGATAGTGGTGCAAGAAGCTCTTGAAGTGTCCAACCTCGTGTGAACCACCTGCTCTGGCCCAAAGCTGAATTACCTAGAAGCTGAGAGGGCCCGGAGCGTATAATATCGCCTTTTGACACATCGGAGAGATAGACGTAGCATTTGACGGCATTCTGATACCAGCGAAACATGGAGTTGATAGCTTCAGAGAGCTCAGCGCTGCTTGTTTTATCGATGCAACAGCTGTCTACCCAGAAGTACTCCAGACCGTCTTTCTTTGCTTGATCTCCGCAGAACTGAATCTTTCTGTAGCCTGCCTTGCTTCTTCCGGTTCCAGTCATCATTTCTTGGAAAGTGAGCTCCTGGTTGTCTGCTTCCCATGTGTGCGAGAGAATGGCGTATGGAGGAATATCGTTAGGTCCGAACTTGGTGAGGCCGAAGTTGCCATCATGGTTGATCTTCAGAAGACGCATGGTGTTAGCAAAGAATGGTTGCAACACGATGCCAGGAGAAAGAACTTATGAAGTCCGATGCACGCGAAATGTAGGGTGGATATGGAAGATGGGTGATTCACCGTCACGGTCCCCGCGATTTGGTCCTCAATGGCGAGTGCATCATGGCGCAGCAGTGGGAACAGCCCAGTACAGCCCCACACAGGCCTGCAGCGGCGGAGCAAAAATTGTTGAGTTGGTACACGTGTTGTAAGCCTCAGGCAGAGGTGTGCTTTATGCGGATTGGGTAAGACTAAGTTGTACAGAACGTTAGTGAAGGGATTAATTACCGGCTCACCCCTGCAGTGAGCTAGCATAAACTAGGAAGACTCCTTGCACTAGCACGAGCCTAATTATCACCCCCCTTTTTGCTGGATATCACCCCCCTTTTTGCTACATATCGCCCCCCCTAGATTTAGCCTAGCTCCGGCCTGTAACAACTTTGTTCAACCAGTTAGACTATTACTTAGGATATAATTGTGTTTAATAATAATTTTTAATTCACCAATATAACTGTCACGCTGTTCCTCCAGGTTCTCTTGGCAGTCATTGAGGTTACGGGACATCACGTGCACGGACGTCACGTGATCCCGGGCCAAGGGTTCTTCCGGCACCTTACGCGCTCCACTATATATATGGCTCGTGGCCGGAGCCTCTCTCCTCTCCACGCAACCTCGTCAATAGCAATACAACCCTTTCCTCGGCCACACTCCTGACAATAACACCGGATCTCTCCGCCGGATAAGCAGGCACCCTAACAGCGACCCAGGGCTCTACTTACTTAGTCCCTAACAGTTAACCAGCCCTTAAGGATGGCACTCTGTCTACTCCTAAGGAGGAGGCTGTTTGTGGTGAAGAAGGATCTTCAGGTGTAAGACCTTGGTATAATAGTGTATAAGGCGTTCCTTTTAATTAGCAATTAAGAGGTGGCTATCCAGGAGCTTTCCGCTTCTAGACTAGGTAGAGTAGATAGAGTGAATACATCCCCTCCGATTCGCATAAGCGGCAAGCGAGTGAATATAATTGGTGGAACAATATTGATACGGGCCGGAGCTAGGCTAAATCTTGGGGGGGTGATATGTAGCAAAAAGAGGGTGATATCGCAAAAAGGGGGGTGATAATTAGGCTCGTCCTTGCACTATGGTCCGTACTCTAAGAACAAAGCGAAGTGCAAAACCGGAAACCGATTCTGCTCGCGATAGTACCTTTGGAGAGAATCAAATATTCAGTTGCTTGCACTTACTAGATGAAAGACTAACCACTGTTAGTGAGAATTTTGCGATCCGCTGGGGCGAAGGGGTGTCTAAAAGCGTGATAGCTCCATGCCATTGCCTTGCCATCCAAGTCGGGCACGCTCAACAATAGGAAAACGTGCGCTTTTGGGGAATTACAATCACCGCTGTATGGAAGTCTCAGTGCTATGCCCCTGTATTGCAATTATCTCTTCAATTAACCCCCCCCCCTTTATCGCGGGAAAGACCATGAGTACGTTGACTTGAAGCTAAGATACAATGCTAGCGGGTTCCTAAAGAATTCTTTCAACTTTTCAGAAATGATGCTCTCTATAAGAGGACTCAAAGTTGGCGAACTTGAGATGATCTGGGTTCAAAAATGGGATCGCGACTCGCAGGGCTCGCTACGTTTCACATATTCATTGGACGACATTAGAAAATTTGTTGACGACATCAATGATGCAGGCTCAATTGACATGTCAACGTTCATCGCAACGTATTTGGGTGGCTATTTTGGAGGACCCGGGGAACAAGATTACTGGGATATAGTCATATCATTCATCAAGAGCGTGCTATTCGGAACATCCGGACATCTACCAGATCATATTGACTGGAAAGTTGGAAACAACCTCAAATCGCTTCGATCGAAAGTTTACTTCAAGTTGCAACCGATTCGAAATTACCGGCAAGTGGCAGCTGGCGTAGGAAGGGCAAAGGATCAGTGAGGAAAGCATGAGTTGTATTGAGGTGCTAATGAGTGGCTATATAGTGAAGAGAGACCAGGG